GGAACCCAATACTGAACTGATGTCAACAAAACAGGCAGTTGTTAATTAAAAGCAACTATGATTGCGCTTCGTCGTAAGGTGTCGCAAACTCTAAAGCCACCGGAAAATAACAGTGATTAAAACTTTTGCAGCAACTTCGAATTAATCTTAGTTTATCTTAATCATCAATTACGATCTTATTAGTCCAAAATTGCTCTATGATCCCATGGAAAGCCGACACAGGATAAATATGCGTGCCCCAGGTTCTTGTTGAAAAGAAGAAGACGCCGTTCCAGAGATCGCATCATCTTCTTCTTTATGAATAGATCTAAATGGGGGGACGTCTTCGTGCTTTACCTTAATCAACTATAGTTGAAAACAAAGCAATTCACTTCGAGAAACATCGCTCAGTGCGAACTGACAGTAACTAAGAAAATAAGTTGGTGGATTTTTTTGAGATAATTTGTTACATAGGACCTAATTCGTGGAGGTCAAAGCAACCTAGTTCAGACTTGAGTGCATAATATCAGACGGGTGCGCATTGCTCAGACCAGTCCAGATCTGGGCTGGTCTGAGCAGCATTATTGTCTACGAGTCACAAAACAGCCCGTCCATCTACGCTTCATCTGAGATATTTCATGCTAAAAAATGATATACCCTAAATGGCATGACATTGCAACGCCCGGACATTGCAATGTATGTATACATACATATTGTATACAATATGTACAATGTATGCATACATACGGGCGCAGAATAAAAATACATTTGAAAGAAAGTGCGACAAGTAAAAGTAAATATGCAGTTCCATAATTTCAACTATGCCAAAAAATGAAAAGCATTGTACATAACCGTAGTTCTGTGTTACAAACGAATAACTGGCATGGTCAATGGCACTTGAGGATGGATAATCTGACCAGTTCGCGGCACCGAATACGTTTTCTATTGGTTGTTGAGATCTGTCGTTGATTGGATGGTGGATAACATGTTTCATGTTTCATCAATAGAGGGTAGGGAACGGATCCGTGTAAACC